TTATTGAAGATAGGTTTTCATACAATATTTTCTGATTATGGTTTCTTCTCTGGTAAGATTTGTTGAAGGAGGCAGAGGCAGGAGGATCACAAGTTGTTTTGTTTTTTAATCTAGATAAGCTTGTGTAGGGAATTTTCTTTTTCTATATAATTTGTGTGGTTTTTTGGTAGATCTTCGAAGGTTTTCATAGGCATTTTTGAAGGAGATTATATGCACATTTTGAAGGTATGTATATGGTGTGTGTGTATGTAATGTGTGTGTGAGGTATGTATGGTATGTATGTAGGATGTGTATATACAGTGGGTTTGCATGGTGTATCTGTAGAGTGTGTGCAGTATGTTTGTGGTGTGTATATGGTGTGTGGTGTATGTGAATGGTGTGTGTATGTGCAGTGTTTGTGATATGTATGTAGTGTGTGTATGGTGTGTGCTTTTATTGTGGCGTATGTGAGTGGTGTGTGTGTGTGGTATGTGTGTTCTGTTTGTATTGTGTGTGTGTTTTGTATGTGTGTTTGTGTGGTGTACATGTGTGGTGTGTGCATATGTGGTGTGTGCTTCTTTAATTATCCAAGTAATGCTATTATGATTTTTATGATAGGTATATTTCTTCTATTCTGTTGAACGCATTCCTATTTATCTGTAGCCATTGTAAAGCACATTGAATTGATATTTATATTAGCTAGCTCACTATCAGGACATGAGAACAATATTCACATTTACATGAGCTTTGTACCCTTAAGCACTGAGAAATTTAATCATGATTTAAAAGAACTTTCTGGTAAATATTTTTGGGTTTTGATATATTTGATCATAGCATCTGCAGAAGTGATGATCTGAATTTCACTTTCCGAATTTGGGTCTAAAAGTCGTGACAAATTAGGATTCTTTTCTTGCTCTAAGTGTCATAAAGCTTTCAAACTTTCAATATTGAATGTAATATTAGCTCTTTGAGTCTGTAAGGGATCTGTACATTAAGATATAGATCTTTGTTTCCTTATTCATTCGGTTTTTCATGAAGTCATTGTGTTTTATTAAGTGCCTTTGTGCATCTGTTGATCATGTATTCTTCATCTTCACATTATTGATATGGTATGCTTCCATTATTAATGCAAATATTTGAACCATCCATGAATTCTTTGTTACAAATTCACTTTTCCATCATAAATGATCTTTTTAAATAATTTGTGGATTTAACAAGTTTGATATTGTTTTGTTTGGTGTAACTGCAGCATTGCTCGTGAAGATCATTGCTTGCCATTTACTCTTGGTGCCATTATGTGGTCTTGTCAATACATTCATAAATATTCCATTATCATTATTTACTTACTTTTAAGATAACTTAAATGAATTGGCATTAGTTCTTTAATTAACAAACTAATTTAAAGGAATCTCTTTATCACTAAGCATTTCTTTGCAAACTATTATTTTTATTTTTATTTCTCATTAATATAAATGATACTGAGAAATTAGATATTTGATCACCCCCCTGTCCTGGGATGCTCCAAGTTGTCGGTTTCCGTGAAAGTTCAGTCGCATAAAGAGTTCCCACTATGGAAATACAGTGTCTGCACTGAATGTTACTCAATTATACTTGCTGTTATCTCCACCATCTTCCTTTCATCTCTTTCTCATCTCTTTGCAGGGAAGATCAAAGAAAACGAAAAGAGTCCTTCCCTTTCCGCACCTGGACTCACCTCAGGAGAGGCTTTCTTTGAAGTTGGTCACTTGGAATCTTTTCTTTATTCTATGAGCTGCTCTCTTTGTAATGCACACATTTTATGATTTTTGCTGTCACATTGGGTGATGTGATGAGTTTTTTTAACTTCAGTTCAGGAATGAAGCAAATCTTATAGTACTTCTTTACATCATCCCACTGCCTTAGAACTAGCAATATTAAAAAAATGATGACAACTTAAGTTGAAAATTACTTTTCTTCATTATAATCTTCCAACACAAATAATGCCTAAAGGACATATGTTTTATGCTGTAATACAATTCTTTGTTTCCCAGCACACGATTATTCTGAAGCACCATCATGTGTCCACATACACTTTAGTGTATGTTTACGTACTTCTAAATATTGACACACATGTGACTTTAAACGTCTTTCAAACAATTATAGTAAATAACAATGATAGCGCATCCGTAGGTAAGAAAATACAAAGCATTACCAAAATTGAGTTGTCTTGCAATTACTAAATACAATAAAGTTTCAGGTGTTTAGTCAGAGATCATTGTCAGATCAGTGATACAGCTCACACCTGTGATAGGAACCTTTGTGATTCTGAATGTCAGATCAATCTCACACAGCTCATTGTCAACCTGTGGGAAGAGCTGCTGGAGACCCATGATAGTATCCTGATTGTGTATCTATGTGGTTTAGATTAGTAATGACTTAGCATAGAAATATTAGAACATCCCCAATGATTCAGAACAGACTACATTATGTGAGTCTGCCCTTGTCAGACATTAATCCTATGTCATCCTTGAGAATGCTTCCTGTATCATTAGCGGGTGGTGGTGGCAATGATAGCCTACAGTTTTGAAGTTAGTTACAATTCATCATCCCTTCTGCTTACTACCTTGTGTGCACAGAATCATAATCACCAATGAAGAGCTTTGTAAGTAGTCAGCAGGAGAGCCTGAGGGAAATGAAATGACCATATATGAATTTGTAATAAAAATGGTGGGCAGAATAGAAAGGACAGGATATCACTTTCAAGTCTACTATAGCCTATAACCCAGACATAATTACACCTTCAATTATAAATATATTACAATATTTCTGTATAATAATAATATAATTTCTATATAATAAATATAATATTTTAATAGTATAGTATTCTTATTTTAATAGTAATAATAACCCTTATTATTTTAATGTGTTACACTGTCTTAATTGGATAAATAAACAAACGGGTAGAAATTGATCAAGTCCACAGAATCCCATTCCACTAGGAATTATCCTCAGAACAGAATGCTAAGCCAGTCCGCGCAAGCAGGTTGGGCTTAGTAGAAATATGAGGAAAGTGAAGATAGGATGGTCATAGCTCTGAGGGAAATCCACAAGAAAGGTACGGAGAGCACAGGGGCCATAATCTGTACCCGTTGCATTTCCACAGCTGGATATTCTATCTTCGACCTCTGCCCTTTCGAGAGTGACAGTGTTCTCCCTGGAACTCTGTCTACATATAGTGTGGGAATTGCTGTGGTGTGTGCTTTGGTTGCTCCGCCCACTAGCAATGTAAAGTGAGCCAGGAGTTTACCTCCTGTGTTCTACAGCTTCTTAGGAATCAGTCGATTAAATAGTATGGCTTTATGGCAAGGGTCTGAGAAAATAGTGAATACAGCACATCTGTTCTCAAGGTCACCACTTTTTATCAGATTAAAATCCCCAAGATAAATTCAAATGAAGTCTGACTGGGCAAAGCATAAATGAGGTCACAGACAGAGTCATCTAACATTCTAAGTCCATATTGAGGGAAACGTTGATTAGGAAGCACTAAAACCTGTTCATTCTTTTACAAAACATTTGGTGCCCAGGTAGCCAAGCACTAGAACGTCTTACATAAAATCACTGACTGTTTTCATTTGGCCTCAGCATTGTTATCTGGAAGAGATAATGAGAACTTGCCAGGAAACATTCCTAAGACTGCAAAGCAGGTCTTCATTAGGAGAAAGACTGCCCTTAGGACTCAGCAGTCCTGGGTGACAAACTGAACTGAGGTTCAGAATCAAAACTCCACACTCAAACCAAAGTTTACAAAAGCTTTGCAAATAAAAGGCTCACCAGAGTTTCTAGAGAGCCTGGGCTTCCAATAACTGAACAAGATGGATACCTTCATGAATCTTGTTTCTAAAATTGGTGTTATATTTTATTGGCACTCCGGAAAGAGTCTGTTCCAAGAACCATGTGCTGGACCAGCTTCTTTCTCACTAGTCTGATAATGTGCTTGAAATACCCTTCTCTCTCTTCCTGCCTCCTTCCCTGGAGCCACAATAGGTCATGTACTCTCAGGACCATACTTTCAAATAACAATCAATCAGCTGAAGAATAACACACTGTAGAGCCACTTCAAACCACTTCAGACCTGCCCTAGTGACTTAGACCCACAATGTGGGGTAGCCCCTATGTCCCAAGTTACTGCGTTGTTCACACTGCCCACCCTGAGCCTCTTTAGCTGTCTCACCATTGCCCTGTCTCTGAAATCATAATGGGATCTACTGTCCAGTTCTCTCTGCTGGCCAGCACTAGCCTTCCCCTTGTGGGCCCTGGGTATAACGTTCCATCCATCTTTTCAGTAATACGTTTGACTTCTAGCAAATAGAGTTTGGTATTATATAAATTTTAAAAGGAGATTCGGGCACTAGATAGTATATAGAAGTCTTATCTTTGCAAGAGGTGCAAAAGTGAGTCTGAGAAATAAATTTGAGACTGATATCCCAGCATTGCTTCAGGAGCCAATTTTCTTGTCTCTGGTGAATATCACTGATAAGAGCCACAGTGTGAGTGTCAAAAGGACATCATCTTGCAAAGATCTGGGGAGCAGTTGGACCGTGAAACTATAAGTCTTATCCTATGAATAATCTGTAGGATGGATGACCAAGCAGACAATATGGCCCTGCCCCTGAGTGATTCCCATGCCATGGTTGTCTGGAACAGCTTAAGGATCTACATAGGTTACCTGGCTTTCAGTTCAGCTTCCACCCCATCCAGGAACCACTAAAGTGATCCAGTTCTCTGCCTGTTCAGCCTCTTGTTCATCACTTATAGAGAATCAGTAGGAGTCAGAAGATCGCCAAATTAAACACAATGTTCACCCTTTTCTTATAGTAAATTGTGGCAAAATATTATGCTGGTCAAAATAACTGAAGCTTCTGTTGTGGAGACTTCATTATTTTCTTTTTATAGTGTATTTTTCTTTTGTGATTGGAGAAAAGGAAGACATAACTTCTCAACCCTAAAGCTATTACCCAAAGAAGAGGCACAAACACACTCACTGTAGCCTGATGTTTCTCTGCTTTCTCAGATGTCTCTTTAATCTGATTCTGCAGGGCCTCCTGGAGGGACTTCATTTCTTCCCTAGGTCAGTAGAAAAAGAACAAAGAAGAGATACCACATGATTCCACTATTTTCCTTGAACTTTACGAAAAAAAAGTTTGTCTATCAATCTACATTTAAGGAACAGCTAACTATAATTATGAAAATCTACAGCAATTCAAAAGGCTACGTCTAAATACTCTGAAAATAAAGGGTTTTTTTCCATGTACATACATAAAGCAGGTGATATTTAAAGGAAATTGCCTTTTATTATGCTTTATAAGAATCCCACAGTGTGAATCAATGTGAACAATGAATGTGTTCAATCAGCTCAATATACCAACTCAAGTTGGAAAGCTAATTTCACTGATGACATGTAGGGCATGAACATGTTAAGTCAAAAGTGATGATAGACTTCTGAAAGAAATTATGGTAACCTTCTGATCCTCATTAATTTCTTAATTTTGCAGTATTGTTGCTTAACTATAACCTGAGAATTTTTCATGAAAACACAGGGAAAATAGATTTAATTCTAACTATTGCTTAATGGGCACAGGAAAGAAAATATATGACCTCAAATAATGGCAATTGGGCCCCAAGATCATTAGTATGCATAGACTATGTGTTTTGATTGGGGGGGTAGAGAAAGATAAATATCACATTGTTTCTTACAGATACAATGGAAGTCAAGAGAGTTTCTCAGTGTAAGGGTTAGGGGAGTGAGCAATAACAATCATGCAGTGACTATGTGTGTGTGTGTGTGTGTGTGTGTGTGCATGTACGTGCATGTGTGTGCATGTTTGTGAATGTCATGATGAAAGCCATTATTTTATGTGCTTACTCATTTCTTTTAAAGATTTAAAATTTGTACATATTGGATTAAGTTTATTGATTTGCTTTGACTTGACTTTTGTCACTCAAACTATCACCTCAAAAATATATAGATTATAAAGGTTAGTGTGTGTGTATGTGTGTGTGTACAAGCACATGTGTGTGTAATACAGTGCACATATATGATATGTGACTATGCCTAGAGAAGTTGCTTAAGAGCAACAACAAGCAAGCAAAGTGTTGTTTTATTCCATGAGACTCAAAACTGGTTTAAATTTGGCCATCAATTTCTGGAAAAGTACCTCTGGTAATTTGGGCAAATGTTAAAATTCCCTCCTTGTAAATTTCCTCATTTAAAACTGGACACAATAATAAAAACACTTTGTAGGCTTGTGGCAAGGTTTAAGTGACACAATAAACAAAATTTTTAGCAGGGAATCTAGAAAAGAAAAGTACTTATTCTACAATCATTAAAAAGAAAACAACTTCATAGAGACTGTGAGTATACTCTTTGATCAGAATACCCCACAGGACAGGCTCTTTCCTCTAGCAGGAACACTCTGTGACTTCTAGATCTCAACTTTAGGTACTGCGATCACCCAAATTTAATTTTCAGGGGAGACAGAAAAAGGGAGGTGGGAGAGAGAGAATAAATTTTGGAATCATTGTGGTCCAGGCCAAATCCATAAACCATGGTTTAAAGCTAAATTTCAGCTTTCACGGGTATATTCATATATGGATATTTATATCTGGAATACCAGATTTTTAACTGAACGTTTGTGACATAATAATTAAATATTGCAATGGCATTCAAATACTAAATTCAGTATAGTATAAAATATGATCATATGCAACAGATGCACATATGTTACCTGTCACATCAAAATATGATATCTGTGAGTGATAGAAAACTGAGGCCCACAGGGACAGTGGCAGGTGTTCACAGCATATGCACACACATGTAGACAGGCATTATGCTGCTTTTATTGAGAAGGGAAAAATAAAGGAAGGGTTCTGGGGAGGAAGGAAAAACAGTCTTTTCCAAGTACAAATTAAAATATGAATTATACAGTCAACAAAAAATTCAAGATAATTTTATAGTAGCTACTACTTCTCATTCTAAATTTTGTTTTTAGACTACTTATTGCTAGTTTTAGACAATAAATAATAATCTAATAACATTATATTACAAAAGACAAGGGAATAAAAAAATCCCATATCATGCTATGTAAGCAAATAGGAAACAAGAAAGAGCAGCAGTAATATGTTAGTGAAAATTGGACAAAGGGCCTGGAGGGAGTCAGTAGTTAAAAGCATTTGTTCTTCTTGTAGGAGGACCCAGATTCAATTCTGAGCACCATAACCAAGTTCCAGGGGATCGGTGCCCTGTTCTGACTTCTATGGGAATCAGGCAGGCATGTGGTACACATACATATGATCAGAAAAACACTTTGCAATAAAATAAAATACACAAATACAAATATAAGTGAGTCCAATATTTTTAGATGGTGGAAGCAGAGAAATGTACGTCTCTATGTCAAGCAGAGCTACTGTGTGATGGGTAGCTTGGCCTTACATCTACCAACCAGCTCTCAGTACACTTCATTCTGTCTGCCTTTCTAATATACATTTTTAACCAGCCCACTGTTCTCCAGCTTCTGAAGCCTGACTCCCATACTCCCAGTTTCTATGCTATGCAAGATGATTTCAGGCTTCTTTGCTTCAACACTACACCCCACCTCAGGAAGATTTGACTAGTTAGGCCTGGCTGCCTTAGAGCCTCTTTGGTGCTGAAGTAACTCTCTAGTTCTAAGACTGGGTAGCTTCAGCATCAGGATGAGATTGCTCACACGCATGATTATCTTAGCATAGTTTCTCATATTGTGCAAGCACTGGGCAGCTTTTGCATCTCTATTTTAATCTCCATTTTCCTCTCAGGAAGGCATGAATTTCAGATGGTGATGAGCTGCTGTGTCAATCAGTAATTTACAGAGTAAAGGCTTCCTTCTGGCTTTCAGAAAGCATGTCAGTGGTCAATAGTCTCATAGCACTCTGAGTCCTCCCCCAAGTCACTAGAGAGAGAACAAAGTATGCTTTCTCATTTACTCTTAGACACTTGAGGACGCTCCCAGGGTCGTTTCTCTGCTTACAGCTCTTTAGTACTGACATTATGTAGTCTAATGTCTCTCTACCAACCCAAGGGGCTTCTGTCAATATCATCCAGGTAGTTATATATTATGAACATGTTCATTTTAATAGTCGAAATAAGGCACCATGAGTCATCTATCATCTATCTATTAATGTGATTATCAAGCACTTATCACCTATTTAGAATCTGTTATTTCCACATCTCTTATCACACACATATTTCTCTCTTGTTAGTAGTGAACCATCCAGTTATCTCTTCATGTAGCTGTGTGTGGATCTCTCACACCCTCTAGATTTACTTAAAAATTTGTCACCAGATACACACAAATACTCTGTAAGTTAGTTATTTGTTGATGAGGGGAATTCTACGTCAGACAGTTTGGGTTTGAAAAAGTTACCTATACCCATGGCTAAAATTTACTGAGATTTTTATGTTGATTTTAATGGTACACATAAAATGAGTTATTTATATTCAACAAGTTTTCTAATTTTGTATAAAACTCTAATATTTCAGGGCGAACATATCTGCTTTCTTTCACCTTTTTGGTAGAACAGATATTCAGTCCTCTGAGAACTTGTGTATGAAGGTGGGGTGTAGATGATTACTTAAACATATTTTACAGACTTAATGCCATTCTCCTGATTGGCCTAAAGGCTTTCTGTGTCGTTATAAACATACACAGGGACCTGAGAAAGTACAGTGAAAACAAAGGCATGGGTTGTCTTTGTCCCAGCTCAGGCCTTTCTGTGTCGTTATAAACATACACAGGGACCCGAGAACATATAGTGAAAACAATGGCCTGGGTTGTCTTTGTCTTTGTCACAGCTCAGGCCCCACACCTGTGCTTTCCTGTGAGGGAGGCTGAAAGATGTGTCTTCCTTCCACAGTCCTCCCTCTCCTCTCGAAACCATGGCTTCCTAACTGCCTACATCTCCTTTTCCTCCTCAACAGAGTCAGCACAACAATTCTCCTGAAATGAACTGTTCCATTCTCTGCAGAGCTACCCACTGTGAGTTCTCAATGCTGGACACTGAAGTCCATCCCCTCTGGGACCCTTTCAAAGGTTTTGCCTACGCTGGACACTGAAGTCCATCCCCTCTGGGACATCCCTTCAAAGGATTTGTGTCAGACCCAGTTCCTCCACCCTCTTTAATCCCTGACAATTGACTTGAGTTATCCAGATACTATTTTTGTGTTTTTTTTTCTATTATGTTTTTTTATTGATTTCCTTTGATTGAGATAAAATCCTTTGTTAAAGAAGTATTTTCCACAAATCTGAGTTTGTTTTGGCTGATTCCTTTTGTTCATATGTTTTCTTAAAAAGTATACTTTGTTAAATTGTTACTGTGTTGGTCAATAGATATCCCAACCTTTTCTTTTTAAATAAGATCTTTTTTTGATCAATTTCTATCAACTTCAACACTTCAAGTGCCCCAGTAAAATGGGGAGACTATGTATCTCTCATTTCTAAGAGGTCAACATCTTTAGATTCCTTCAAACAAGCCCTTTTTATAATCATTAAGATAACTAGCTTTACTTTGCAAATGAGGAACCCAACACACACAGAAATAAAAAAGCAACAAAACAAAACAAACAAACAAAAAGAAAAGAAAACAAAAGGTTTAAATATTAACCAGACTGTAGATGGCTAAGTGTCTGTCATGCCTGTGGCCCACTGCTGTTGCTAAAATAAATCAAAAGAAAGACAATGAATGAAGAACTATCAAATTATTTTAACAATAACATCTAATAGCTAAAACAATAACTCATCTCTGTAAACAATGAAGAGTAATGCATGACATGGATATTTTAACCACAGTGTGACCTCACGTGAAAGCACGTCAATGACAGGTTTCAGGGTCAGTATGTAAGGTCAGCAGTGGAGACCCAGGCTGATGACAGGACACATGATTAAAAAACACATCATTTCCTTTGTTTCTATAGCCTGCCTACACCAAGCAAGGTAGGCGCTTTGTTTAAGAGCTACCCAACCAGCACGGAGACCTGATCTCTCGGCACCAGGAGAGCAAACATTGGGCTTGCATCAGGAGCCCTCCCCACT